CGCGAGAACAACTCGCGAGGTGGTGTGTACATAAATTTATTCATTACAGTGAGTCCGCGCCTTTTTCAACAACACATTTAATACTCTAACCGAGAACACACTACTTTGATAAAACTCATAATAGTTACTCAACTTAATAAACCGGAACTGCGTATTATTTGCTCTGTTAACTCGTTTCTAGGGATTCAGAAAGATCCCTGCTTTAAAATCTGCAAATATTCAATTTTTTATAACTAATACGAAATGATTCGTCGGGATTTGATTGTCAGTTGGACCCAAATTCCTTGCTTTAAAATTAATTCGCTTTTTGTAGTGAACTTTTAAAATTAGACGCAATTTTTTTTCTTCTCGAGCGTAAGCTGTAGGGAAAAATATTTATTGTACTTGTGTCGAATTGTACATCTTGTAAAACACGAAAAAATGTAGGTCTTTCGTTTTGGGGCTGCTTAAAAATCTCGCTTGAAATTTATAATGTGACATGTGGCTAAAATGTGAAAAATAAAATGCTTTTCTAGGTACATATGAACTATGATTTATAAATCCACCCTTATTTTTATCTTTACGTATGAGGCTTTGGGAAAAAAATGGAGTTCTAGAAAAAATGTAGGTACTTTATTATACTCTACACTTCTGTTTTTAGAACATTGCCTAAACACGGTCTCTCTAAAAAATTAATTAAACAAGCAATTCGGTTTATAAACGAAATCAAAGATCATTTTGTGGAATTTTGAACCTTTTAAAAAAATTGGTCGAAAGTTGTTTCGACAGAACTTCCCTCGCTCCTGAAGTACAATGAAACATATCCAGCATTCTCAAGTATTTATTTATGTTTATACATCGAAAGAATGTCGCGTAGAAATTAGTTTGATTTGAATTAAACCACAATCGAACAAAATGTTTTGAATATTATAATTCTTATTTTATCATTATTATTATGAAGACGTGTTTTTCACATTTTCGAGGAAATGGGGTGACTCGTTCTTAATTTGACCAATAAAAAATCTGTAATGAAGTCATCAATATACTAGTAGATAATACTAGTCACAGCACAAAAGAAAAGTAGTCGCAGCGTATTACCAATGCAAGAAAAAAAAATTGGTCGAAAGTTGTTTCGACAGAATTTCCCACGCATCTCCACAATTTATAATATGAAATATAACGATTTTTTAGAATTTCAATATTCACAACGAATAACATCATTACAATTGAGATGGAGGTGGGAGGGCGGAACTTAAATTTTACCTTTTTTCTGGATATACGTAACAATCTTTTCACGACAATACATATTTAAAATGGTAAATTTTTGTCGGGAAACATCGATTTTACAATTACGCTCCGCCCCTCGGTTTGACAACGAATGAAAAATTCATCACAATTGAGATTAGGGTGGGTGGATGGGGCTTATTTTTTGGATTTATTTTCTTTAACACATACATAGTTTCTTTCAACAACATGTTACTTATAAACATGTTTCACATAAAAGTTTCTTGTAGAGAAATAAGCCTTTTGCAATAAACTCCGCCCTTTGGCTCACAACGAATAAAAATCTGATCACAGTTGAGATGAGGGTGGGTGGGCTGGTTTTGTATTTTGCCTTTTTTTTTTCTTAATATATGTCCGTACTTTTCGTTTCACGACAAGAAACTGAAAACATGTTTAAAAGGGTAAATTTGTAGAGAAGTGTATGGGATAAAATTTACCATTTTAAACATGTTTTCAGTTTCTTGTTATGGGAAAAAAACAATATATATTTTGAAGAAAAAAAGATGCAAAACATAAGCCCCACCCACCCATCCTATCTCAATTGTGATGATTTTTCTTAATCGTCGACAGCCAAAGGAGCGGAATTTAATTGTAAAATTCCTATTTTTCTACAAGAATTGCTTGCCATGTGAAACATATTCTTGAGTGACGGTGTTGTTCAGAGAAAACTATATGTATTAACTTAAAAAAAAAAACAATAAGAAAAGATTAACCCCACCCCGATCTCGGTTCTCAATCGTGATGAATTTTCCATTTCCCGTTTTAAACACGTTTTAAGTTTTCTATTGCGAAAAGAAGATTACGAACAAAAAAAGGCAAAATATTTTGGCTTAAATGTAGATTTCTTTTCGCGAATTTCTAATTTATTATTAATAAATATTAGTGAAAATGTGTTGTGTTAGTGCTGTGAACACGAACGAAAGTAGATATTTTTCCGAAAAGGACCGAAAACGGGGAAGTACGACTTCAGTTTTAATTTATCAAGTTCCGTGAATCGTTTAATCGACAATGTTTAAATTTTGGAAAAAATTTCGAAACGGTTGAAGTTGATCTGCCAAAGCCATATATTTTCACGATATAATTAAATAAAATTTAGATATAATTAATATTATTTATAATGCTCAAATATGGTAAGTAACTATTAATATATGATAATCAAACCGAAAACCGTTTTACTAAAAACACGATGGTATTAAAAATAAAGCAATTTGTTTAAATATTGGTAAGTTAATCCTGAAAATGTCTTAATTTCCCGGCCAGAATATGAAAAAAAATAATTTTTGCAATCTCATCGTGACGTGCGATGACGTCAGTGTCCAAGGTCACGTTTTTCGGTCCTTTGTGTTCAGTTTTAATTTCTGTTTGATGGTGACAAGATCGTCGCGTCCTTTTGGCGTAAAAGTAGAGCAATTTCGCGAATTTCTAATTTATTATCCTATTCACAGCACAGTCGTCGCTCTTTGGTGGCAAACGTGGAGCTGTGTGTATCTTGTAACATTTGTAATTGAAGCATATTGTACTGTATATTGTACGTGTTACACGTTCTTCTACCTTTGATAGGAGTCGTTTCTTTGACACTCGTCTGCACTAAATCAGCAATGTTAGTATTTTGTGATATTACGTTGGCAATATTGATAGTAAAACCTTTGCTGCCATGTATTGGTCTGTGCATTTGACAGTTAAATTGTAAAATAGAAATTGTCCATTATTAACGGACTCATTATTCGGAAAAATTTTGAGATGACGATCAATTTTTTGGGGTTGATAAACAGATACATTTTGACTAAAAAATTACTATGCTCACAAAACGTCAAGATTTCAAAGTATTCAGTTTTGCAATTCTTGATTTAATCAATATAATAAATTGACCCAGTTATTAATTTTTTTCAGACACCCCGTATAACCAAATCTAAAAAATATTGATGCAGTGATAAATCACAAGTATAGGCTCATCATACTTTGCACATTTAAGATAGCATTTTTTCATCAAAATTTTGGGGTGGCGTCATCATTTTTTTAAGGGGGATGAGGAAATAAATTTTGATCAAAAATTTACTAGCCTATGATAACTTTAAAACATCTCCAAGAATTCAGAACATTCGGTTTTGTGGTTCCTGATTAAATCAGTAAAATAAATTCACGCATTCAATTTTTTTTTAGTCACCCTGTATATGCAAATCTAAAAAATTATAATAGAACGGTAAATCACAAGTACAGACTCATCATATTTTGTACATTTTAGGTAGGATTTATTCGGCAAAGTTTTGAGCTGACGTCATCAATTTTTTGGAGGGGATAAATAAATATATTATGATAACTGTGAACCATCTGCGCAAGCTTTCCAAGCTTACGGCTTTGCAGATTCAAAATTAAATTGCAAAATGTTGTTTTATAATTTTGATTAAAAAAAATCTGGATGCTTCGGATAAAAACTCAATACGGAGTCGTAAACTACATGTATAGGACTATGTTATTTAACACAATCTAAAACCCATTTACTATATGCAATTTTGAAGTGATGTCATCCCATTATTGGTGGGGATGATTAGGCAAATTTTGGTCAGCGTTTTACCATCTACATGATATTCTTAATATAAATACAAAATTTCACAACAATCGGTCTAGTACTTTCGGAGATTGTCTGCCTAATAAAAATCCGGGACGGCAGACAAACGGACAGACAGACGGAAATGTGAGACCTATTTCTTCGTCTTCTAGAGGCCATGAAAGATCGAGAAAATGTAAAAGTAGAGAGTTGGCCGACGGACTCGATTACAATACTTCCTTTGCTTACGCTCGGGAAGTAAAAAGTAGACGGCCAAATTCGGCATCGAACCACTACCGCATGTCGCACGGCTTCGTTGAACGTTTCGGAGTTCTCGACTTTGCTGCAACGCCACCGAACTCTTGTCCGGTGTTGGTAATATAATCGTATAGTACCTTGAAATTGTTTTTTCGAAAATTTGAACGTTTAGCGAAAAAACTGACAGCGGATTCGTACATACAAGTGTAGGAGTATATTTTTATATAAGATTAAAATTATTTTAAAATACAATTCAATGAAATAACGTCATCAAATTGATGGTGGGGACGATTATCCAAAATTTGGGTGACATTTAACAATCTGCATGATATTTCTAATATATGTACATACAAAATTTGACAACAATCGGTCCAGCAGTTTCGGAGATTAAGTACTTGTCTAATAAAAATGGATACAGACACCAGACAGACAGACAGACAGACGGAAACGGGAGACTACTTTTTTCGTACTGTAGGGGTAATGCACCATCGAGAAAACATAAAAGTGGCACTTCGTCCAATGGACTCGATTATTATACTTCCTTAGCTTAAGCTCGGGAAGTAAAAATGCACTGTATATATATTTCATACCGTTAAAAAAAAGTAATACTTAGAAATTATCGAAATCAAACAACCATTTATAATAACTAGTTGTTTTATTACAAAAAAAATAAATAAAATAAATACAGTAAGCTTCTGGAGAGAAACCTCAACCGAGAAAACTTAAACTATAGTTTTTTAAAGGAAAGTTATACAGGAAAATGTTCTTTAAGTAGGTGGAGTTCGAGAATTTCCTCATACTATGCGATACAATGCAGCTAAGCTGAATTAAAATCCGAGTTGTTTTAATTAAAAAAGTCAAATGCTTATGGTGCTTTGCTCGTGTTTATGCTGTCTGTCGGAAATTATACGTAACCACAACAATTTAGACTTACCTTTGCATCCAGCTGCAGAAAAACCATAGTGAAGATTCTGGCATGTGTCACAATGAAATCCATCTACTCCAGTTTTGCAGTGACAAAGTCCTGTATGTTGGTCGCATAACTTAGATTTGGAACCGGTAGCGTTGCAGGCGCAAGGAACACATAACGCCGTAACATTTCCATACCCTGACTTTAGTCAATTTTTTGTTAATATTTTGTGTAGCATAGATTTACGTTTAATACCTCGCACTGGTTGCAAGTTCTCCCCGTGAAATATTTCTTGCAATCGCACTGGCCACTTTCCATGTCACAGGCAACAGAAGTTGCACCAACGAGATCGCATTGACACGACATACAATTGGACATCAAAGCGTTTCCATAATAACCTACTTTACACTTTTCACACCGCCATCCTAAAAAATTCGCCGAAATAATGATTTTGAAATAGTTAACAATTAGCATTTCGATTAGATCACCTTCAGTATTTCCTTTACATTTTAAACATTGTCCTGTCATCTTATCGCAAGGACCTCCATTGCAGTTGCAAGGACTACAGACGCTACCGACTTTCGTTGGATTTCCAAAATATCCATCGTCACATCTGGAAAAGAATAACATTCAGGTGTAACCCCACCCAATACATAAATTGGCGCGCTGACTGCAGCAGTGAACAATTCCCGTAAAGAGTATATTTACGTCCACCAACTTACATTTCACAGTGGTCACCCGTATATCCTTTAGGGCACTGCGTACATACGTATCCGCCTTCCTGCTCAGTACCCTCGCTTAGAAAATCGAGCTGGCAACTAGGGCTAAAGTTGTTCTCTTCTTTTTCGAGGGGACATTCACATTTTTTGCAATCGTCAGGTCTTCCTTTCAATGGATTCCCGTAATAACCCGGTTTGCATCTTTCGCAATTTTCACCCATGGTATTATGCTGGCAGAAACACTCGCCAGTATCGGGATTGCAGCTTTCGGAATGTCCGTTGCAGTCACATTTTCCGCAATAACTTTCTCGAGTTGTAGTGTTTGTTGTTATTCTGACATATCCGAACGCACAAGATTCACAAGACAGTCCCGAATATCCAGATGGACAAAAACACTTTTCCACATCAGCTGAACTGTCTTCGTCGTCGGCATGCAAGGTGACCTCTTCCAGCAACGATTCAATTTGGTCAGTATGAAACGTTGCTCTTAGTAGTACACAACTGATGTTTGACATTACGCTAAGGAAGTGTTTACGATCTACTGGATTGTCTTGGATGTTAGCGAATGAATTCTGACTGTGCGAGGGAAGGTGATACCATCCATTTTCTTTGAGTTTTACGTTAAATGTTTCGTTAGATGTTGAATAAAAATCGTTACCGATAGCGATCTTACGACCGTCGGCTCCAATAATTATGACGTTGGGCCCTGTTGTTGGTTTTCCACTTGTATCACCTCTCATAATTACCCAGTGAACTTTGAATGTTAAGAGGGACCCATAATATTCTAATTTGTTACCGAGGTATGCCTTTGGAGCCAGCCAATACAAAGTTTCGGTAAATGGAAGTTCGTAGGTTCCGATTGAAAATAAGCCTTTATTGTCCCAAAGAGGTTTAGCTACACTTGATATTTTTGAGTCTGTTATGAGCCAGTTGTCTAACGTTTGTACCTGAAAAATTATTGTAAATATGTACATCAAACATTTTAATTTTTAAATGTTAAACAGACGTTACCATTTTTGGTGTCACCAAAGCGGATTCGCACAGATTGGTTACTCCCGAGCAGTAGCATTCTGTACAACCTTTTAGACTTTCAGCGTTCAATGCAAAGTATCCTGGTTTACATCTGTCGCAAAATTTTCCATTAACATTGATCTGAAAAAAAAAACAACTTACAGAAATTAAATCTGTACTGTCTACACCAAATAACTGGGTCTTTATTTGATTGTTTACAGAACAAAATAACAAATTTATAATATGTGACGCCATCTACGATCCTATTACATACATAACGGGTGTTTAACAAAAAAAGTCATCGAGTTGGCTTTGATTTCTTGTAAACATTGTGAAGTATGTCTACAATTAACCTCAAATTTAATCGATGACTGCTGACAATGCGGAAATGTCAATTATCTATAGAGCAGTATGAATGAATAAAACACATGCGTTTCTTTCCGTTTTCTGCTATCAAAAAAGTAATGCCAACTTGATGACTTTTTAAATGAATACCCAATATATAAATTGGAGGTAGAATGAGAGGAGGGAAGATAGTTTGAAAAAGTTCGTGGTGTGGCGCTTTCGACAGACTATAAATGGCTCCTCCAACTTCTCTGAAAAAGTGGTTGTTCTAGTAGTGCTTTGAAAGTATTTGCTGGGTATTGGGCATAAAAAATAAAAATAATTTAACAAAATAAAATATATATAGAAACAATAGCAGTAAAATTTATTTGAGGTTTTATATTGCAATAAATATTTTTGCTTTTGCTCCATAGTTAAGCAAATAGCAAGACATTCTTACTACCAATGGATCTACATATTTTAAACCGCCTCTGACCCTCTGTTGTAGAACGATCGCTGCCGATGTGGTACGGAAATGGTCATAAATGACTCTTCTATGGAGCTGTTTTTCCAGCAAATCTTTAACATGGTACATTGAAGTATGTTCCCTCCTATGATTCTACCTCCATGGTTTCAATTAGATGTTTTTATTTAGAGCATACGAGGGTAAAACGCACTTTGCATTTACATTCGTCGTCACAGGTTAATATGTTCAGAGTGCCTTTGACATCACAGGGGCACAATTCGCATTTAGGCCATCCTTTAAAACCTCCAGCGCAGTATTCGCATTTTCTCCCTTCGTATCCTTGTAAACATTCACAAGTTCCAGCAAACAAACCCTCTTGTATGCACGTTCCAAATGATCCCGGTGTATCGCAATTACATTTTATACAGGGACGAACGGCATGTATATCTGTTTCATGAGGTCGATAGTATCCCATCAAGCACTTTTCGCAGTTAATACCGGTAGTAAATGCCTAAAGACATTACAGCTATATTAAACACGATACCTACTCTCAAAAGATATTTCTGCAGCCCTTACCGTACAGTTATCGCAGACACCTCCTCCTTGATAATTACCATTTATGTCCATGCTTAGACCCGCTTTATCAACATCCTCATCATAATGGCATGATATTGCATGCCCGTGGCAGTTGCAAGGTAGACACTGATGGGCATCTCTGGAAGAGCCTGGACCCCATAGCCGTTGATTATGCATTGGACAACATTTGTCGCAGTTTGAGCCGCAGGTGTGATGTGAACACTCGCATTCTGGATGCTGTTGGCATTATTTCAATAGCTTGTTTCGTCATTACCGAAATTGTTCAAGAGTTCGTAAAAAAATGTATGTTAAAGTTAGCGGTAATACATAGTATGAGTATAAATAAAGTTGAAAAGTAACCAGTTTGAATAGAGTTACATCCACACTTTTTCTTTTCGCCGAAATGACATAGTTCGGGAATTCTCCGCTCTCAAAAATATTGCTTTAATATGTTCGTAACTATTTTTATTACGTTTTTTTTTACGTACTAGATAAAAGTAGATCTACACTTATAATATAATACTGGCCGAAAATTCCTGCCGTCGTCCATTTTATTAGAATTTACCTACTGTTGACATTCGATAAATTCACGCAGGGTGTACCTATAATAAAAACCAGAGACCAAAGTTTCCTAGTATGAAAAACATTCGAGTGAACATTGCGTATGTAGACTATTCCTGAATCTGCAAGTCCGCAGCAAATAACATACATCTGTATCAACAAAAAAAAAAAAAAAAATTAAAAACTGTCTAGGTTCTTAAGATGCATGCCTAGGATGTATCGTTATTATTATTTTTTAATCGTTGGTAATTTATTTAAAAACTGTAGTTGTCCTACAATATTGTTGACACGAACGTTACCATCTGTTATTTTGAATTATTTATGGGTACTTTTTATATACCTACATACTCTATTGTTAGCTCATTGTCTCCTAAGTATATTACCTTTTAGTGTATTTTAATTTTGAATTTTGAAGTTCAATTATAAAAACAGCACCAAATGTAGATTCCTAAATAAGTATACGTCCGTTTATACGTAGAAACGGGTTTATGTTTTTTCAAAGAAGCTTAATAAACTTAATCTTTCCAAAATATTCTTATCAGAAGTTTCCACTGAGATACTGTATGCGGTAGACGTTTTCAACTAAAAGAAAAAACTTTTATCGATTTATGCACCGTACAACATTTTTGTTAGTTGCTCTTTCCGTACAGTGCATCAATTGCGATGAAGAAACAAAGCAGATACATTGCTGCTCTTCCTCTCTGCGGCAACTTGTCCAGTGTTTTTCCTAGAAAGGCACCCGGTTTGTCGTCTTATATGGAGTGTGACAAAAACCTCTGAATTCATTATGTTCAACTATGAAATAATTATAAATTATTGAACAGATCTTATTTCTGGATGAACTTTCAAAGTTTACGAAACCATGATGAGGTACTATTTATGTCACAAATATATTAGCGTTCAGAATTACAGAATATTTCAATAACCTTACCCCTGATCCAACATTGTGTCGACAACTTTCGGCGTGACCATTACAAACGCAGTATCCAATGATGCTGATATCTCTTATAGTATAAAACAGTCTTTTTTCTTTTAAAATGTCCTGTGAAAACCAACGAGGTAGCGGTTCTGAGTTACCTCTTAAGCCCATTAAACGGAACTGCACGTAACGCGCTTTAGTAAACTCTAATAATTCAGGGCTGGTTTCATTCGCTCCAGGTCTTCCATTTATTAAAGAAGTGTGAATCTAGAAAGAAGATAGTGTAAAAGTAGTTACAGATTTTTCATAACGAGAAAATTACCTCTCCGTTTTCCATGGGTGTTAATTTCGAATAAAAAGAAGTACATATAACTTCTGAGTCCGTAAAATAATGGGGTTTCCCTTTTATTCCAGGTAGACTAAAGCGGTCAAAACATTCTTTGTCGCTTCTGGCAAAATACTGCCACACTTCAAAATCGTTACCATTTGTGGAACGTTCGAGTATCCAAGTTCCTGGACGCAATGAATTTGCAGATTTTATTATTACGTCGGTGATTTGGTAGACCTAAAAATCCCTTATAACTTAAACAGCACATTTTAACTTAATTCTTCTTCTAAACTGCCGATAAAATTTGTACATTGTAGCATGTAGCTAACTGGTCTGGTGTTCGGTATCTGGTCGCTGTTTTTAACAGTACAAGTGTAAACTGAGATGTATATACTAACAGTCATAGGGAAAGTAGAACTGCATCAGTGTTTATTAAAAATGAGGTTGTCCTTAAAAAATACTGGCCGCTGAATTTTTGATGTGTAGGGTTTTTTACGTGTTAATTTGATATACTTTTCTCCTAACAGATTTGTAAAGAAAAAAAGAGAAGTAAAAGCCGCTTTCATAACCACTACTACCTACTTGTTCTGTAAATTCATTTCTTTTAACAATTAAACTTTATTTATTCAATTAAAAATTACTACACATCTGTGTCAAATAGCCATGCGATTTGATATTTAATTCATTATTATTTTAATTTCGAGTAATTGCGTTGGTCCTTATCACAAAGCAGAATTTATCTTATCTGTTAATTCAACAAATCGTCGAACTCTTCCTGAGCCAGGCATTTATTTGTCTTTTCGAATGGAAAATAAGTAAGTGTTGTCTTACCACTGTTGTAGTATCATATTCACTGTGTAGTGTATCATTGCAAAATTAGAATATTTTTTTTCTACTTTGCGTTAACAATGGCCTCATTATTAAACCGAAAACAGTTTAATAATGGGATCAATTGTTAAACTGTATTTCAGGTGGCGTGCAAGCCCCCTTCTTCCATTTTTTGAGGCAAACTTAGGTTAGATTGTTAGTGTTCGATGGTTAGATGTCAAAGTTTGACATTGTGAAGTCAGCCACAACGCTACAACTAACGTTTCGAATTAAAAGGCCCTTATAACCTTGAATTTTTATTAATTTTTTGTTTCCGATCAGATGCAAAGTAGAAAAAATAGTATATTATACTCGTTTAATAAGACGCATTGTGGCACTTATTCCTTTGGAGCACTCCTCGCTGCGCTCGTCGTGCCCCAAACCCATGCGTGCCACAATAAGACGTCTTATTAAACTAGTATAATAATATACTATTTTAGTAGCGAAATAAATTTTCCGAAATTAAACTGACAATTAATTAAATGTCATTTGCACGGTTATGCGATTAATGGTGAACTTTTTAGAGCAGAAAATCGAAACTTCCTGTATACGGCAATAACGCTTTTCTTTAAAAGTTTATTGTTACGTAATTAAAAGCGAACATTTTTTGGACTGCTTAGTTTTACGTGTAAATGTCCTTTGTACGAAAAGCAATTCGCTACCCGGTATTATGTTGCTGTAACAATTTATATTTTGTTTCAAGCCTCATCAATTAATCGAAATTTGGATCTATAATGTTTAAATTATCTAATAGCGTTTTTTGGCAGGGTAATAATTCCAGCTTATAGTGACTTTTTACCTGTTTTAGATCGATGGTAATGGTGACATACTCGTATTCTGCACCATAATATATAGCAGGACTTTGCCACCACTTGTTGGAGCCATCAATTGCGTAAGTAATTGGGTGTTTTTTACTGGGATCTGTACTGAAATTATCACAAATTCCACATCTTCCTTTTCCTCCTTCCATCATCCTACAAAATTCTTCCCGTCCATTTTCGCCACATGTTGCATTAGCAGAAATTATTGCTTTCGTAGCGAGGTTGAATGAAGATGGCCACAACCCAGAGTTCATTGCAGTATTCCTTCTGATATAAATATAGTCTTTTGAATGTTTTCCTCCTACAATTTAAATACATACATCGATTTTTATCAAATCTAAAAGAAAATAAGGTAAAACAACGTATTTATTTCAGAATTCTAGAAAAGGTACGACCATGTGATTCGTCCAAATCTAGCAAATGTATTTTTTGTAACTTTTTGGAAAATAACAAACGGCTACATAAATTAACTAAAACTGTTTCCAAATTCATACACCGGGTGGTGAATTAATTTTGGTACACAGAATTTTTAAGATTTTTAAAGATGACTTTGAATAATAGTGTGTATCTTTTCCTTAAATTTTCTGCAGCAAACCTGTAATGAAAGAATGTGTTGAAAACTGTAAGACGTTGTGCAATTAACCCGTTGCAACAGCGAAATAATAAAACTACAAAAAATTTAGTAGGTCATTTTCGTGTTTTACAAGCGGTGAAACGTCGAGAAATCATGAAAATAATCATTCGTCAAAATAACTGTTTGAATACTTCACTAGCTTATGTTAGAGAAATATAAATTGATCTTAAGTTGTTTTTGATTCGGAACTTCTCTCGTTCCTAAGGTGCACGGCCATTAGGCATGTTCAAGCAAATGTTTACTTATTTATTTATATTATTTGTATATTAATTTAAATAATATACATATGTAATTCAACTCTAGCAGGATCATATTCCATTCATGAATTTCAAAGTTTTTCCTTTAATTTTTAATTTAATTTTAATTTTTATTTATTAAAATACATATTACTAAAATACCAGTAAGAACTTACTTCAAATTCTATTTCAATAAACATTGATTTAAAAAGGGTAATTTGGGGTTCGTTAGTTTGTCCTAATTTGGAAACATACTAAAAATACTGTATAAACCATGTAAGTAGTAGGTACTAATCGAATTAATCGAATAGGAAAATCATACAAGCCTAGAATTTCCATCAAATTAATGTGTGATCTGACAACATATGAAGAATACTTGAATCTATTTGATATAAACTATTCCCTCCATTACTGTAAAGCAACATGTAGGTACCTAACGCGCACGTTGTGTTAATGATTAATTCGGCATACACTGACCTACCTTAATGACACTGTGGGCAGTTATAAATGAGGGTAAAAATAAAACCAACTTCTTCAAAATGAAGTGGGCATACAGTATTTTATTTATACACGTCCGGAATAGAAATATCTCAGACGGCAGATGTTTGTAAATGTTTGTTAATATTTTAAAAATATTTTTAGATATTTAAAAATTTTAAGAATCGATTGTAGTTCATAACATTGTATGTTTGTATGAAATTGCTTTTTTTTTAACATTATATTTATCAAGTGTTGGTCAACTTTAGAATGTCCGAATTATTATGCATGATACTTGAATAACAAAACCGAGAAACGTTTTTTTGATCCATTTGTTCAATTTATTAACTTCTACAATTATTATTTTTGTGAATTTGTGATACATAAAATGTTTGGGTAATAAGATCAGTATTTTGATATTTTCTTTTATTTTCGCTTTAAATTTAATCTCATAGCTGTAAAATAATAAGCCCGTTGTAAAAATTTAATGGAAAATGAATCTTCGAATGTTCAAGTTTATTCAAATTAAGTCAATATGTGAAAACTTTGGTGGGTAAAGAGACATGGTGTGTTGAGTCTCTGGGTCGATGACTTTCGCCTTTGCTCTTTGTCGCATGGTTGTATGAACCCATAAATGGAATCTCTTCGCGAGTCATCCGCTTTATTAGCTCTATAGTACTCCTATTATGCTCTAGTTTTGGGTTGCTGTCGAGATTTCTCGTTCAGCACGATTAATTGAATCATGTAAAAAATGTAATGTTTTCCAAGAATCTGTTATTTGTTGTGAAGTTCACTTTAAGAAAATTCATCTATTCGACAATTCTATTTTAAGTACCAGTTTAGAAACAATCAAGAGAATTCAAGGAAATTGTACAGAAAAACCATTTTAGAAATATCTAAAGTCCAGCAAAAGATAAACGCAAATGACTTCAATTATGAGTATTGCTGCTGTAAAATGTCCAGTCGCTTTCGAAGCTGTAACCTGTGTAAAGCTGTCAATCAAAATTAGTCGCCACCCAGGACCGTATTTGTTCTCTAGTAAATGCATTCCTAATGTATAATGGTTTTATTGCAGGTTGTGGTCTAAAGTACTAAATACGTCTCATAAAATAATTGACGGGGTTTGCATTTATCTTTTGCTGGACTTTACATATGTTTATATTTCTCATACCGCGTTCGACGTTAGATTTGTCTACAAAAATGTACTAAAACCTACAAGATACAACAAGTGAGATAAATTCTGGATGAGAAACGTACAAAGAAAAAACAGTCTGAAAACAGATGGTGGAGAGTTTTTGGATTTCTCAAAGAAATCCACTAGGTATAAATTTTCAAACGAATGCATACGTCATACAACAAAAAATAAATACAATGACGTTTGAAAACTCAAGAGGATAACCGACTTTAGTGATGAGTGGAATGGAAATTACTACCTACTGAATACAAGTGAGGAGGTCTTTCATATGACGCTGTCAGTATTAAAAAAAAGATACAATAATAATAATAATTATACCAGTTTGAATTCAAATTCATTAACAATGGTTTAAGCAAGACGAGTTGTTGAATAAAAGGGAAACATCCTACGTAGTTCGTTAGTAAAACAATATTAACGAGAAACGTATTAGGATCTTGTAAATGGCGAAAGAAATGAACTTGATTAAAATACGAAAAAGATGCACTATTTTACAATGGTCAATAACCCGCATTTTTTTGTACTATGGTAGTCTCAGGCAAAATGACGCCTTTAGCACAAATTTTCGAGAAATGTTGATTGTCAGTGAAAGTTTAACATCATTGTAATCTGCAGACCACTTAGCCTCAAATGTGGATAGTGCTGTAACCACTAACACTCTAGCACAGGTTCGGTCTCGTGCACGGGCTGCTCATGATTTTATTTCGCTTTCAAACTTTAGGGAACAATTTTATTTTTCTGATGTATTAAATTTGTTTATAACTAATGACGCTATAGAGCCTGTTATGGAATTGAATGTAAAAAATTTAACTGGTAATTTAACGAAAGTGTATGAAAACAAATTCACTTTCTTTGACACACAGAGATTTTTATAGGTTTTTCTTGTTTTTTGGACATTCCCCAGTTTATGATGAATGAAAATAATGATTTTTCGTTTCCGTCTATCTGTTTGTTAGTGAATTTTTAGGTAACTATTCTCCGAACTTCTTTTTTGGGGTGTATTTTGAGTCTGTTCTGTCTGTTATATAGATTTTTTACTGTTCATCATATGTAAATATAAAATTTTGCTTAGAATTTATATTGTGATTCCAAAACATTTTCTGACTAGTATTTTTTAAATCTTATCTACTTACTTATTTATTAAACCTGTGCAATGTTCATCTAAACTTCTGTGGTATTTTTCTTTGTGTACACACTTACACAAAAATTTCATGTTTTTTTTTTGCAGTGGGTTCGTAAATGAAGATGAGGGGATTCGCTAAATTGTAACAGAAGCAGCTAAAGATTAGAATTTTGCATTAATTTTAAATTGGGTGTTGTTTTGCAAAGTGTTTATTACACCGATTATTATTATTATATTAAGTACATAGGTCGCCACACTTACATCTCACTAAGATGGGTATTGTTTTTTTTTAACATTATTTTTGTCTTTTATGAAGGCTATTTTGATCGGTAATTTTCTCTTATTTTTGTTTTATCAATTTTTTTTACGTGTATTTTGTAAGTAAATATTGAGAACAGCTATGAAAGATGAAACGACTGCGACCTTTCGAAACAGTTCTAAAAAAATTCTTCATTTTAAACATTAAGTTGCAATGTTAAATAACAAAGGTGGTTGGATCGAAAGCATTAAAAGTACACGATTCTAGGAAATAGGGTACTTTGGAATCTTCGATTTTGCCTACCTGTTTTTTTCGGTCTTCCAGCTTGTACCAGAAAAAACATGCACACTAAAAACACGGTCCTTCTGAGAAGCATGGTTAACACTTATTTTAGGCCTTTTCCACAAATCTGTTTTGCCCTGTTGTAATAAATGATACGATTTGAAAAACATGACACTAGGAACTCATTTTTGCACTACTGTTTCGAATAGTACATGGTTGTTTACATAAATAGCACGTGGAATTTAGTTTGCGCAGTCTGCGTCTATCCGTTCTAAACACAACACTCTTGAAAACTGAGGTCGACTGAGGTAGGTTTACCTTCGGATAACTGAAATAGCTCAAATACCCGCCTCCTTTGCGTTGGGTCACTTGCACTTGAATATCGTGTCTGGGACTCTGGATGTGAGTGTATTATTGGTTGCCCTCGCTACGTTTTTGTTCTGTCTCTGTTAAGCCGAGATCAAAGCAACTGTCTAGAAAAAAACAGCTTTAGAGTTCATTTTTTATTAAAGAAACATTTTCTGTACTCCATTGAAGAACACACACGGACATTTTAATTTATTAATGACATTTGCTAAAGGACTGTAACTTTCTAACATTGGTCAACAGTGTAAATGGGGAAGGGTGAAATTTATTTACTTCTAAGTCGTACATATGATGACGATTTTACTGCAAAAGTCATCATAACTACAACTCAAAATCATTATTAATTACATATGAAAAGAACGTGAAAATCATGAACACTGTGTTACATTGAAGAACGAAATAGCAGAAGTCAAGTACATATCATAAGGATGCATGCTGTTTCCAAATACAGTTTTACAGGCTGTTAGAATTACAACTTTTTCATGGGAATGTGTTAAAATAAAAAAAAAAATAAATAAATTCTTGAAGAAACTCATTGCATAATGTTTGAAAAGCCCTGTAAAAATATTTTGGAACATTAGTACGATCGAAAAATTCGCTCGGACTAATTACGAAACAACGTGTGTGATTCTAATTATGTAAAAGCTCGAAAACGGAGATCTAATAAAAGCGTTCTAAATAATTAATGTTTGCTAAACATCTGCAATATTTTCCTTTTATTGTAGCGGACAATATATTTGTTACACAAAAATAAAATTCTTGTGAGCAAATTCGTTATCATAAAAAATACACCTAAAGTCCCTGATATGTTATACATGTATCGATTAACCTATTTGGCCAGGTAGTAGGCAGAAACGTATACCTACTGTTGACGGGTATTTAAGACAGGCAATTGTCACAAAATAAAATTTGCCCACAAGACTATAATAAGCGTACTACGTTGATAATTTACAAATGATGAAGCCGTCCTGAAGCTATTCTATATGTAGGTATATTCCTAGTAGATATGTGTATAAACATACTCGTCATCAGGTCTGCTATAGTAGTAAAAAATGGTACGAAATTTTCGTATAGAATAACATTGGAGTTGTCTGCTTCAAATGGTAAAAAAAATGTCTTACGCTTGTTGAGTGTTTTTCAAGTTAAGACATCTTTCCATTTATTAGAAAAATTACACTAAGAATACCGCCGATCGGCAATAGCTTATTGTTCTATACATACAAGTTTACACTCGTTTTTGGATAGACAAATTGAAAATTCGCTTTATTGTTCTAAAAGAGGCTGCCGGTGACCAGCCATGGTGCTATACAAATACAGTGCTTTCCCACTAACAAAAGTTACATCTATCTAGTTAAACATAGAGTAGTATAGTGTCATTCGTATTTGTCTATTGGCTGTGTGCGTTGATTCGAATACGTTTCCTAAGCTTTCTTCAGTGGCGCATCGTTCGGGCAAAACCTTGGATGATTATTGAACCTCGCAACGATTAATGCGCCCTCTGTCGGCAGTACTGAGCTGTGTGACATCACAGTAAACAAACAATTCGGTCTCCCTCCCCTCCCCCCTCCCCCCAAAAAAATCTTTTCTAAATATGTATAATACTAGATTAGGCTAAGAATAATTTTTTCTTGTTTGCTTTTAGTATTGTCTTTCACAACAAATGTAATATCTATTTTAGCCTCCCTCTTCAAAAAGTTCATTTTTTTGTGTCTATAACATAAAATACAGCCAAATGAACGAACAATCTTTTGCACACTTACAAGACGCACTCTTTCTCGTAATAAAACGTACGTGTGCGTCATTTAAAAAGCTATTGTTATGAATCGTTATGTTGTAATTGTAGATTATCGGTGAGGAGAGGTCACGTAGCTAAGGACAGTCGATATAATTGGTAACTGATCTGCCGTAGGCCGAGCGCTGGGTTCTGCACTCGACTCACCCTGCAGGCTACGACTCGGCCGCTTCTGAGATAAAAATAATAATAACAATAATTAGTACAGGAAGTACAGAAGCGAATAAAGATGTTCCAATGGAAGAAGGATCTCTCACGTGATATTCCCACAAAATGTAGAACGCACGTAAGCTTTATCTACAGGTCCTTCTCTCGTTGAAGCGTCTCTTATAACATGTAGGATATAGGTATGTACATAACAATATGATACACGAGGTGATGAATTTGTTTATTTTTCTTCATCTCGTAAATGGCAGGAGATACAAATTCGGTTAATCCGGATTAATGTTTGTTATTTCGAAGTCTCCCAGAATGTAAATTTAAAATTTTCCAGATTACTTCTGTAAAATGTTTCACACAAATATTAAGGAATATTAATCTTTCTTCTGGCAGAATCGAATTAGGATCTCTCGTCGTTTATAACATTATAACTTTATAAAATACCAACAGTGCTTCTTCTGTTAGTCGCAAATGTGAGGGACGAATTCAGTAGGAATTGTGTGGGATGTCTATCGAATGTGATAAAAGGGAAGGGAAGGATCCAGAAAATGTCATTTCACGAAACTACAAGGCGTGAATGCTTGAAAGACCTAACTATAATGTCTATAGTCTCTCAAAGTCTGCTGTCGTTCCCTAGGTGGATGATCTGGAGATATACATTTTTGAAAACGAAACTTACCTACTGCTAGACGAACCATTCATCTTTTTGTGTTTGAGAGACTAGATCGGCGTCTCCGCCGTTTACGGGCGCGTTAGGCGCCGTCGGCGTCGGTCTTACTTTGCCTGGCAGTAGAGGCGGGCCCGGGCCGGCGTGCTGAGGCGGAACCCTAGTGGGCCCGCAGGGTGGCGCCAGTTTCCCTGAACGGCGGCGGCTGTTGCTGCTGTGGCGGCGGCACCGCTACTCGTTAAAGTCGTCATGCTCCCACCTTGCTTCATCGCGCCGTTGGAACCGTACATTTGTTGAACTGGAATGTTTAATTTTTGTGGTTAACGAAGAATAAACACGTATCTGAAACTTAGAAAGAAGAAAAAAACTTTTCATCTTGCCATAAGAATTTGTAATGATCCGTGCTCTTAGCAACTTTCCGTGGTCACTTTACTATTTTTTGGTTAATACCCCACCAACATTTCTTTTGAGTTATAATACTAAGTTATGTACATAATTCAGATATGTAACTTACGTGGATATGGAGCATTGGGTTGTGGCACATTTCCGTTTCCGGATCTGGCACTAGAGCTCCATCCTTTTCGACATAAACAAATCGAAACAGCAACAATGCAGACTAACAAAATTAGTAGTGTGCTAATTACTGTCACCACAAACCATGTCATTTCCAGTCCTAAAATGGTTCCAGTCTCGTTATCTGCAAACAAAAAAGTGCAAATTATGCAAAAAAAATACCACAAATTTATTAAACAAAATTAGGTTTTCGTGACTAAGTAGTAGTCGAAATTTAGACATTTATTAGTAATAATGCGAATACATTTTAGAATCATTTTACTTGCAAAATATCTGTCTATTTTTTATTTAAATATTTCATTACTAAAAAAATTGCGGACTTACTTAATTTTTTTAGTTTAACAGAATTGGTATACTGTTGCCCAGAGAACAAAAACCATGAATTTAAAGAAAAAAACATTAGAAATGCTCACATGATTTTTTCGTAGTATCGACAACATATTCTGCTGATACTTTACAAAACACAGAATTAGTCACTATAATATATAATACATATACGTGATAACGAAAGATATTTTCAAATTAACTTAATAGTAATAATCATAAAAAATCATGGCAATTATTTTTTTGCCTATGTAGTATCAAAGTATAACACTAAACCCATTTGAAGAATAATAATGTAGCATATGATGAATATGTTTAGGAATTCTCTACGATAGGGTTTTTCAGCGGTCCTCCCATAATGATGTTCCAGTTTCAAGTGTTAGTGATCTACAATTTTTTATAATAGTGTAATACTCACTTTGACAAATTGTATTTGAAGATTCGTCGGAGCCGTCGGCGCAGTGGTTAATTCCATCACAAACCAAATCGTTAGCTATGCAAAATTCTCTCAGATTACAGCGAAACTCTGTGCAAGCATGTTCTGAAACAAATATTACAAATCATTTCAAATAACCAGGTTGTACTCGCACTTATAAAATAACAATAAACTAAACAAATATGCAATATTAATTAAAATACTTCTGGGGCAATAACTAAGAGAAGTGTTGCAACAGATTGTATACATTAATTTCTATTAAGGTATCATCAAAGGTTTTTACAGGTTTATTCACGAGACGCTCCTTGCCCAAAAAAATTCAAAACGCAACCAGTAATGCAATTATGCAGCAGTCTTATGTACTATCACTATTTTTTTTTAGGTAAAACTTAGGTGTTTGTTATGATAATTATTGGAAGTAAATGCCAATCGTTGGGTTAAAATAAAAAACAAACAAATTCAGAACAAGAGCTCGTAAGGGCTCTCCTGTATGGAAAATATCATATAGGTACATATAAAAATCATATCAGTCTTTTCGTTGTTTGCATACACTCTGAATCAATTTTATTGAAATGTCAGTTTTAACATGACAGTGCCCGGCACTTCGTCAATGTTGTTACACAAAACAGGTAACGAAGTTTTACGGTGTTTCACCAACAACAATAAATCTTGTGCACTCAAAATTTCAAAGTAATTTATGTAGTAGATACGATAATCTTAGGCAATCAAAATTTCAACGTAATTTGTGTAGTAGGTACATACTTTCGGTGATTATTATACATATTCTCTCCTTATTAATTTGTAACAGACAAACGAACACGAGAAATTTACATTTTCTATTCGGCGAATTGTGAATATTAGTCAAAATGAACTTACCAGCCACCATAATAGTTTCTTATCGCTTTTTTAAGTAAATATTTTTTTTTATACATATATAAATTGCACATTTGAAACTAATTTTACTTGAACAGAAAAATGTGTTTCCAAGAAATTCGAGAAAATAATCGGTTTACAAAATATTTTGAGAAAACTAAAATTTTCTCAAAATTACTAGAATTGTCTGAGGGGCGTAACTCCTTGGTTATAAGGATTTAAGTGTAATCGCTTTGCAATAAATTCAATATTTCATAAAAGTCAGTTTTTTTTTATAAGTGTATTTTCTTTCTTTGATGTGATCTGTTTGTTTATGACGCTATTAAATTTTAAGCTGAACTCCACGGTTTTTTAAAGTGCATCTGATTAAGTTAATTAGTTACAATACATATCAATTACTTACTAGGATCTTTAACAGCCGTGATGACTAGTTTAAAACCATTGGAATCAGTGCCCCATCCATCCGTTACATACTTAAGTGTAACGTAGTTAGTGCGAGTAAACATGGCCCCTAAAGTTTGTTTCGTGTTCCTACAGGATAAATCAAACTGAAAAAAATTAATCAATTAGTTCGTTTTACAGCATAATATGCTAATTTAGTAATAATAATAAAATACATAACTTCATTTAACTTTAATATCGTTTGAATTTCAGTGTATCGAGAAAACAGAGTATAGATATACTAAATTCACTATTTTTGGTTTCTAAAAAATTCTATAATCACTTGGGATTTATTAGATGAACAAGGCCTTAGCAAGTCAGGCAGGAAGTCGGAATCCTCGTCAAAGTGATGACAACATACGCGTGCCTATTTGAAACTTACCTGAATTACAGGGTTAACCGAAGTATTAATGATGGCTCTAATGAGGGGTTGGGAATTTTTCACCTTGAAGTTATTTTGCGAGCACCCAAAAATAGTGAGTTTAGTATAAAGTAACCTCATTTGACATACACCTGCAAAAACTTATATGACTTAAGCGGCTTAAGCCAAACCATCCTTATAAGTCAAACTGGCTATTCTATTACTTAACTCAGTTCACAGCTACTTTATGCCAACAATGGACAGTAATAATTTTGCGGTTCGGGTCCACAAAGCTTACAATAGCCAGTTTGACTTATAAGGGTGCTTTGGCTTAAGCCGCTTAAGTCATAAAAGTTTTAACAGGTGTATGTCAAATGAGGTTACAGTACATAACCTTGATGCAACCTCTTCTTGGGCACGATGTATCTTTCGATTTCATAACGGTATGCTTTAATTGTGATTTAAAAGTCACAAGTAGTTTTAAAATAAGCACCAAAAAACTGTAAAACATCCAACTGATACATAAACGGAAAAAATATTTAGCTTTTTAGCTCGAAGTTTAAGCATCCATTTGATTATGTGACCTCTCTTTGAGCTAATAGTGTTAGCACGTGTTGGCTTCATCATGTTTTCTCATTTACATGTTATTATTTGTGAATTTTAATTATGCGTACCTTGTAAGTTCCAACAGCGTGTGCTCCATCGTAAATATAAAGGTGATCATTACAGTCGAGTTGTAAAAAGTCGAATCTTAACATAAATCTTTGTAATATGGAATGAGTCTGAAAAGTGATAACGCAGTCCAGATTTCTTTCATTTTGCGACCATAAGACAGCACCATCGATTTTGCGATAGAGTTGTTGTAGAAAATGATTTTTGCACAACGATTGCATGGAATCTGTAAAAATCAGTTCATGCATTGAGTCGGCGAAGAAAACATTAACAAACACTGATTCCGAAAAAAACATGAAGATAGCAATTTTCAAAGTTACATAGGTCGTAGCGAAAAATTATAATAACACTCAAAAAAAAATTATATGTATCCGAACTAAATTAAAAAAGCTACATCTTGTTATTTGTATTATTTTTTTTTTAACTTACAGTTTCACTACCAAAGATTGTGAGGTGTGATTGAAATATGAACAAAAAAACTAAATAAAAATCGTGATTAAGTATAATTTCATGCCCTTCCTGTTTACTACCTCTTTATTCTTCAATTTAAAGGAACTTTCTTCGATTCATATGTGCTATGTCGTATATAAAACCTACTTATCTAACCATCACAGAAATTTGTAAAAACAGATATAAACCATATAAATTTAACTAAAGTGAAATCATTGTAAGAAATGTTTCATTTGTATTGAAAAAAGCAAAGTTTAAAAGTTTGGAATTGTCGATCTATATGTCGTCAGTGTTTGATATCTATTTTTTACGTACACACATCACATTGAGAACTCACAATATTTGCTTTTTTCGGAGGCTGAAAATGTCGTGCATATTACAAGAATCAAAATTGCAATTGAAATGAACACATTATGGAATGGAGGCCCCGGTCCCCTTTGACTCATTGTCATTTTCACTCAAGTTTCATTAACATGATCATCACTACCACATTTTCATACCAGCCACCCAGTTTTCGTTGAGAGTGCACTAACATTATCACATATTATTATTATTTTGTATAGTACATCATCGAGTTATAATGTAGTCGTGTTATTTTGCTGGAACATGGAGACATGTTGCGGTTACAATATGAATTATCAAAATTGATGATATGTAGCGTACGCGATGACCGATATGTATGTCGGTAGTAAGAATAAGAATCTATTTTAGATTGTGATTTTAAAAGCGTCACCCGCGCAGGGCTCTGGCGTCGTAAAATCGATGACGACGCCGGCGACGTTTACAACGTCAAGGTAGCGATATCTAGCTCGGTTGAACGGAACTGCATAAATGTAATCTGTAACACCACTCGTATAAAAAATATTCGAAATTACTTATCACGATAGTAACCCTTTTCGGGTAACCAAGGCTGTAGGTGTAAATAAGATAAGCCATTTTGAATTTTTTGATGTGTTTCTATTACCACTTTAAGTTAAAAAATGTTTGGTTGTTATGGAAACATTTTTTATCTCTAGGGTTAAAAACAGCCACTTTAGTCCCGTCCCGATTTACAGGGATTAAAATATCAATTTTAGTCTCGGGAGGGTAAAAAAAATGTTATTTAACAAATGAACGGTAGTCATGTAATATATTCGCTCAAGAGAAAAATAGTTGAAATTCGCAAACATCAAAGTAAATGAAGAACGTTATGTTTTGAAATTGTTTATTATAAAATATACTTTTTTTATTTATTTATCATATAGAAATATCAAATTATTATAATAAAATGTTTATATATATATATTGAACGCGTATACGCGGCGAAGTCATTAATTTTGGCTTAAAAAATACGTTGCCTTTGTATTTTTCGACAAAATGATGATTAATGATCATGATTGGGTTAATTAAAGTAAATATCCATGTATTGTCAATTGTTGTTAATTATAAAATATACTTTTCTTATTTATTTATCATATACAAATATCTAATTATTATAATAATATTGTATAAAAATATAGCGCGGCGTTACATGCCTATGTTCGGACTCAGTTCAGACTGGTGTCGGTGTCGAACTCGACATCCTATTCCGCCGTGCCTCGTATATGTATGTGTTCTATAATATAAAATATAAATTTATCAAATTCTTCATCCGGTGTTGTCAACAGTGTCTGAAGCAATAAAAAGATTTTATTTCCAAGAAATCTTATCTGGTTTGTTCATATTTGTAAAAAGAGTGCGTCGTAATAAAAGATTCTTTAAAAGCATCGTTATCTCCGTAAATAATTAAAAAATAATTTCACATTTAATTTCAACGTTCGTGATGTAGGTAATGATAATGGATATTCGATAATTATAATATAATACAAAAAAGGATAAAAGAAAAACATTTGATAAGATGTAAAATTTTTGTAACCAACAGGGGTCTCGAATTCCAAATATAGCACATTTTTGGATTACGAGACCATCTATTAGTAATTATCACCTAGGTGATTTTCACTTATAAACTCGGATGTGAGATAACACTGATAATTTTTCTATAGTTTTAAACAATTCTGGTGATAAATATCTAATCTGTATCGTTTCTATTGTGTGGTTTCATTTAGTCTACGTATTGGATTTACAAATGGTATTAACGAAAATTTAAGTGTGCAAAGTTGGAATAAAATGTTTGTAATTATCGAGGGGTCTTGAAGTAACTGATACCTATATACATACTGAAAAATCTGTCCACCACATTCTAAAGCTAAAGTAAGTGGCCAACAGCCCATTCAATAGTAATTCTTACCAAAACACTCGATAATTACTTTCAAGAGCTTGTCCATTTTTGATAGAATATTTCGGCAACTTGTACTTTTCAATAGCAGCTGCTGTCTTGAAAGCTCATTATCAGACAAAGCTCTTAGAACGTGTCCATTGCACAACTGGACCACTTGCAAGGGAAACGAACCGCCTTTAACCGACCCACAAAGAATTTATGATTTTTGAGACTTGTTAATTCCTCTTTCAAGGAATACGATTGCAATATGTATATGGGTATCAACGCTGGGAAAACTCATTCTACTGAATGTACACAACTTTCAATCGAGGCAGGCATAAAATTCTATAAGCTCTTGTGCATAACACACGAAGGATATATACATATTACATATATAGAGAGATTTTTGCGGCTCGAAATCTACGAGAAAATGCGTTTGGTTGAGTTTCAAAAATGTCAAAATTTTTGCGAAATTTGAAGAAAAGGGGACTATTAAAAAATTTCAATTTTCAAAAAGTTGTCTCAAAATTATAAAAAAATTCAGGGATGTAGATCTCGACACGCCGATTCCAAAAATATAGCATGTTGATTTGTTACGAAGCAACATTTTGGAAACAATAGCTGCGAAATGCGAATTTTTGAAAATTTCAAAATATTCGATTCTTTAACGGTCGATTCTGGAAAAACGGTTGCAGTTATCAAAAAACCGAGGCCGGATTTGAGTTCTAGAGTTCGAAATCCACAAGAAAATATATTTCGTTGAGTTTCGAAAATATCAAAATTTTTGCGAAATTTGGGGGACCGTTAAAAAATTTCAATTTTCATAGACTTGTCTAAAAATTATGGAAAAATTCAGGCACGTAGATCTCGACACGGCGATTCTAAAAATATAGCATCTTTATTTGCTACGAAGCAACGTTTTCAAAAAAATCGCTGCGAAATGCGAATTTTTGAAAATTTCAAAAATTTCGATATTTTAACGGTGGATTCTGAAAAACGGCTGAAGTTATTAAAAAACCGAGGCCGGATTTGAGTTTTAGAGCTCGAAATCCACGAGAAAATGTAGTTAGTTGAGTTTCGAAAGGGTCAAAATTTTTGCAAAATTTGAAGAAGGGGGGACCGTTAAGAAATTTCAATTTTCATAAAGATGTCCAAAAATTATGAAAAAATTCAGGGACGTAGAGCTTAACAGTCGTCTAAAAATTCTGAAAAAATTCAGGGACGTAGATCTCGACGTGCTGATTCCAAAAGTACAGCCTGTTGATGGTCGCGGAGCGACATTTACGAAAAAATCGGTACGAAATGCCTAATTTATAGCAATTTCAAAAATTTCGATATTACAAACGTCGATTCTGGAAAAACGGTTGCAGCTATCAAAAAATCGAGGATGGAAGCGAGTTCTAGGGCTCGAAATCTACAAGAAAATGTGCTCAGTTAGGTTTCGAAAATGTCAAAATTTCGGCGAAATTTGAAGAAGGGGGGAGGGACCATTGGAAAATTTTCACTTTTAAAAAAGTCGTTTAAAAATTCTGAAAAAATTCAGGGACGTAGATCTCGACGTGCAGATTCCAAATATATAGGCTGTTGATGGTCGCGGAGCGACATTTTCGAAAAAATCGGTACGAAATGCCTAATTTATAGAAATTTCAAAAATTTCGAAATTTCAACCGTCGATTCTGGAAAAACGGTTGCAGCTATCAAAGAATCAAGGCCGGAAGTGAGTTCTAGATTTCGAAATCTACAAGAAAATGTACTCAGTTAGGTTTCGAAAATGTCAAAATTTCGGCGAAATTTGAAGAAGGGCGGGGGACAATTGGAAAATTTTCACTTTTAAAAAAGTCGTTTAAAAATTCTGAAAAAATTCAGGGACGTAGACCTCGATGTGGTGATTCCAAAAATATAGGCTGTTGATGGTCGCGAAGCGACATTTTCGAAAAAATCGGTACGAAATGCCCAATTTATCGAATTTTCAAAAATTTCGATATTTCAACCGTCGATTCTGGAAAAACGGTTGCAGCTATCAAAGAATCGAGGCCGGAAGTGAGTTCTAGAGCTCGAAATCTACAAGAAAATGTACTCAGTTAGGTTTCGAAAATGTCAAAATTTCGGCGAAATTTGAAGAAGGGGGGACCATTGGAAAATTTTCACTTTTGAAAAAGTCGTTTAAAAATTCTGAAAAAATTCAGGGACGTAGATCTCGACGTGCTGATTCCAAAAATATAGGCTGTTGATGGTCGCGGAGCGACATTTTCGAAAAAATCGGTACGAAATGCCTAATTTATCGAATTTTCAAAAATTTCGATATTTCAACCGTCGATTCTAGAAAAACGGTTGCAGCTATCAACGAATCGAGGCCGGAAGTGAGTTCTAGAGCTCGAAATCTACAAGAAAATGTACACAGTTAGGTTTCGAAAATGTCAAAATTTCGGCGAAATTTGAAGAAGGGGGGACCATTGGAAAATTTTCACTTTTGAAAAAGTCGTTTAAAAATTCTGAAAAAATTCAGGGACGTAGATCTCGACGTGCTGATTCCAAAAATATAGGCTGTTGATGGTCGCGGAGCGACATTTTCGAAAAAATCGGTACGAAATGCCTAATTTATCGAATTTTCAAAAATTTCGATATTTCAAGCGTCGATTCTGGAAAAACGGTTGCAGCTATCAAAGAATCGAGGCCGGAAGTGAGTTCTAGAGCTCGAAATCTACAAGAAAATGTACTCAGTTAGGTTTCGAAAATGTCAAAATTTCGGCGAAATTTGAAGAAGGGGGGACCATTGGAAAATTTTCACTTTTGAAAAAGTCGTTTAAAAATTCTGAAAAAATTCAGGGACGTAGATCTCGACGTGCTGATTCCAAAAATATAGGCTGTTGATGGTCGCGGAGCGACATTTTCGAAAAAATCGGTACGAAATGCTTAATTTATCGAATTTTCAAAAATTTCGATATTTCAACCGTCGATTCTGGAAAAACGGTTGCAGCTATCAAAGAACCGAGGCCGGAAGTGAGTTCTAGAGCTCGAAATCTACAAGAAAATGTACTGAGTTAGGTTTCGAAAATGTCAAAATTTCGGCGAAATTTGAAGAAGGGGGAACCATTGGAATATTTTCACTTTTGAAAAAGTCGTTTAAAAGTTCTGAAAAAATTCAGGGACGTAGATCTCGACGTGCTGATTCCAAAAATATAGGCTGTTGATGGTCGCGGAGCGACATTTTCGAAAAAATCGGTACGAAATGCCTAATTTATCGAATTTTCAAAAATTTCGATATTTCAAGCGTCGATTCTGGAAAAACGGTTGCAGCTATCAAAGAATCGAGGCCGGAAGTGAGTTCTAGAGCTCGAAATCTACAAGAAAATGTACTCAGTTAGGTTTCGAAAATGTCAAAATTTCGGCGAAATTTGAAGAAGGGGGGACCATTGGAAAATTTTCACTTTTGAAAAAGTCGTTTAAAAATTCTGAAAAAATTCAGGGACGTAGATCTCGACGTGCTGATTCCAAAAATATAGGCT